GACGTCTTTGTATCGATCCCTTAAACTCTACTAAGCTTGTCCGTGAATTGTGAGACCTCAGTAACCTAGAGCTCTAATACCAACTTGTCACGACCCGAATTTCTCACCCTCAAGAGTCGTGATGGCGCCTACTCGTGAAAGCTAGGCAAGCCGAGTATTATAGATTCATTACCCTTTTTACTTAGCCTTTTTTAACAGTTCAATATAATAGGTGATCAAACAACAGAATAATTAAAATAACCAGAAATGCAGAAGACCGAGACGTAACAATTTAATAATGATACCAATGCCAATCCATAACATAAGCTACCCAGAACTGGTGTCAAAATATCACAGACTGTCTAAGAATACTACAAATAAGGGTCCGAAAGATAAAAACAATGCTGTCTCTGAAATACATAAAAGAAATAGAATGGAAAGAGAGAAGGAGACGCCAAGTCCTGAGGACGCTTGCAGGACTACCTCGGGTCACCTGAATGGACTGAAGGCAGCAACCTCACTATGGTCCAAAAGCTGTAGCACCGGGATCTGCACACAGTGCAGAGTGTAGTATTAGCACAATTGACCCCATGTGCTGGTAAATGCCTAGCCTAACCTCGAGGAAGTAGTGACGAGACTAGGACCAGACTACCAAATAAACTTGTGCAATTAAATCATATACAATGGAAAAATAAAAGCAGATATTTACAGTTAGAGATGGGAGGGGGAAAGCATGCTACGGGGAGTATCAAATAACAAAAGAATACCAATAGAGAAAATGTAAAGAAACCACAATTCAATTGACAACAAGAATAAGGAAGACAAATACAATTTTCACTTTCATTTCTTTCTTGTTTGCGTGCAACCCAATCCCAAATCATGTAATACCATTGCGACGTGCAAACCGATCCCATTTCATATATTACCGTTGCGGTGTGCAACCCGATCCTATTTCATATAATACTGTTGCGGCGTGCAACCCGATCCCATTTCATATAATACTGTTGTGACGTGCTACCCGATCCCATTTCATATAATATCGCTGCGGCATGCAACCCGATCCCATTTCATATATTACCATTGCGGCATGCAACCCGGTCTCATTTCATATAATATCGTTGCAGCGTGCAACTCGATCCTATTTTATATAATACCGTTGCGACATGCAACCCTATCCCATTTCATATATTACCGTTGCGACGTGCAACCCCATCCCAATTCATATATTATCATTGTGGCGTGCAACCCGATCCCATTATACAATTCAACAACAAGCATAAAATAATACCGATAAGGGAACAAGGGTAAAACAACAACATCCCGACAAGGGAGACAATAGCATAAACAATAACATCCCAGCAAGGGATACAATATCATAAACAATAGCATCCCAGCAAGGGAGACAACAATGATAATCATCATACTAAGCATGAATAAATCATAACGGAGTCACACCAATTACAATACGAGACTCACGGTCATGCTTGACACCGACCTATAGATAATCGTCACCATGCCTATATGTCGTACTCTACAATTAACACATAGCAAATAAGACACAACTCCTAATCCATCAAGCTAAGGTTAGACCAAACACTTACCTCGATGCTATGAACACAATTCAAGCCCCAACTACCGCTTTACCTCTTGTTTCCACCACCAATTAGCTTATATCTAGCCACAAGTTACTTAACGATATCAATAAATGCTAAATGAATCAATTATAATGCATGAAAATAAGTTTTCCAATGATTTCCCCAAAAGTCAAAAAAATTGACCCCGGGCCCGCTTGGTCCAAACCCGATATTCGGACCAAAACCAGATTACCCATTCACCCCCGAGCCCGGATATATAATTAATTTTGGAATCCGACCTCAATTTGAGGTCTAAATCCCCAAATTTCAATATCCTTAGGTTTTACCCAAAATTCCCAATTCCACCATGAAAACCCTAGATTCTAGGATGAAATCTTGTAAAAAAAAAGTTAAGGAGTGAAAAATAAGTTAAAAATCACTTACTAGTGTTTTGGGGAAGAAAGAGTGTTTGAAAAATTACCTCTTTTGTTTTAGGGTTTTGAAACTTGAAAAATAGCTGAAGAGTCCCGTTTATATCTCCTCTCAGACCCTCATCGCGGACCGCATAAGAAGGACCGCGGCCGCGGAGCTCTATCGCGGACCGCAAAATATCGAGCCCGACCTCGAAGACTCAGCATTGCTCACCACTGACCGCGTAAAGCCCACCGCGGTCGTGAAGCTCTGACCGCGGTGGCGAAGACCCCGCCGCAGACCGCGAAGCTTGGTTTCAGAGACCTGCAAATTTTCTCTAATCCTGCAACTGTCATGCTCTAAGTTTAAATGCACTTCGAGGCCTATCCAAAACTCACTCGAGCCCTAGGGGCTCCAAACCAAACATGCACCATAACCTAAAAACATCATACGGGCTTGCTCACGCAATCAAATTATCAAAGTAACCTCAACAATTACAAGTTTAGCATCAAAATCAAAGAAAATCTTAAGAACTTTCAAAGTTTTAATTTTTACAACTAAGGTGCTGAATCACGTCATATGACCTTAGTTTCTTACTAAATTTTACAAGCTCAACTTAAATGCTATATAAGACCTGTACCGGGCTCCGGAACCAAAATACGGGCCCGATACCATCAAATTCAAAAACATTCAAATTTCTAAAAACTCTTATAATTTCAGTTAATTAATTTTCTTCAAAAATTCATTTCTCGGGCTTGGGACCTCGGAATTCAATTCTGGGAAAATACCCAAATCCCATATTTTCCTACGGACCCTCCGGGACCGTCAAATCATGGGTACAAGTCTGTTTACCTAAAATGTTGACCAAAGTCAACTTAAATTCATTTTAAAAGCAAAATTTATCATTTTCCCCAGATTTTCACATAATAGCTTTCTGGATACACACCCGGACTGCGCACTCAAATCGAGGTGTGACAAAAGGAGATTTTAAGGCCCCAAAACACATAATTTACTTTCAAATAAGTGATGAATTTTTGGGTCATCACAAAAATACTTTTCAGCACTTCAAGCTTATCAACTATTTACAATCCGCTAATCCAAACGACCTCTTTAATTTTAGATTAATTCAAATACCCCAAATTACTATATCGTTAAGTTATTATAACCTGATTAGATAAACTTATTTTAACAAATTCAAAGGATTTATTTAACTAACATAATTTAACAACAACAATAACAACTCAATAAAATTCCACTAATGGGGTTTGGGGAGGGTTGTGTGTACTCAAACCTTACCTCTATCCAGAAGGAGTGGAGAGGCTATTTCCAAAAGACCCTCGGTCAAGAAAACAAAAAGACAAAAGGAGACAATATTAGTATCGCCACAGAATTTATAGAAAAAATAGGAACAACATGAAATTCAGAAGAAAGATGCAAAGCAAAAGCGATAGCTAGTAACTAGGTCCTGCCTAATACTCGATCTCCACATCTTCCTATCAAGTGTCATGTCCTAAAAAATCTGAAGCCTCCTGCTTGATCACCTCTGTCCGATACTTCTTAGGTCGCGTTCTACCTCTTCTCGTAACCTTCACAATAAGCCGCTCACACCTCCTTACTGAAGCATTTGGGCTTCCCTTTTAAATATGCCCGAACCATCTTAGCCTGGCTTCCGCATTATTTAAATTATGTCTTTCTTTATGAGTAGAGGATCACAGACGCTTGTGGCGGAGAGGATAGAAGGATAATGGAAGCAGAAAGAATGAAAGAAAATGGAGTTAGGGTTTTTAATAAGGGAAGGGTCTAATTCTCTCCAGATGTGATTAATATTGTATGTCTGCCACGCAATTAACCCTAAACAACCCCAATGCCGGTGAGATTATTGGAAACCCTGTCCCTCTACAGAGCAAATNATATATATATATATATATATGGTGTACTTCACAAATTCTCTTGGTAGAACTTCACAGTATTGGACCTTCACAAATTCACAATATATATATATATATGGTGTACTACACAAATTCTCTTGGTAGAACTTCACAGTATTGGAGCTTCACAAATTCTACTGCTCACATCACAACAACTTTACCAGTTACGCCAAGTTCCACTTCTCATCTAATTTAGATTGAAGACGAGTATTCAACAGTGTGTTCGGCCTTGTATTTCCCTTCTGCAGAAAAATCAAAACAGGTATGATTATGAAATCTCGAAACCAATTCATAGATAAAGGTCATGAGTGTCATGAGGTCCTTGTTCTTGGCGCCGAAAATGGGCAATTGGGCGCCAAGGCAGGCCGTTGGCATAAACATGCTTGGCACGTTGAAAGAAAATGTTATCTTGATGGCTTGTTGGCAATGTTTGATTTTATTCTGTTATATTTTACCTTCATCTGCGCCTTTTAAAGCATGAGTGCCCCGTATAGGAATTGACTCTTTCAAGAATCAGACTCCTATCACGTAGCAGAACATTTTAGTTGTTCAAAGCAAATGATTGATTAGGCTACACTCCAATTCAGGTTCCTCTATTTCCTTGAAATCTATGAATTGTATCTGATACATTCTGCACATTTGCTTTTCTTTTATTAGTTCCTTCTACATTGAGCCGAGGGTCTGTCAGAAACAGTCTCTCTACATTCACCGGTGAGCCGAGGGTCTGTCAGAAACAGTCTCTCTACATTCACCGGGTAGGGGTAAGGTATGCGTACACGCTACCCTTCCCAAACCCCACTTATGGGATTATCCCGGGTTTGTTATTGCTGCTGCTGATTAGTTCTTTCTGCACATAGACTATTAGGTCATTCTGTGTCTGCGTCATGCCACGAGCTATTGTAGAGATATTGTACTCCTTTTGCAAAGTATTAGTGGGTGTTCTCTTCTGACATGACTGGATGGGGTAAGTTTTCAGCTAATTATATTCTTAGTGTTGCATTAGTTACGCGGAGATTATATTTTCTTATATGGCTAATCAAACATTGTATTTGTTTATGTGGGATTTAGTACTTCTACTATTTTATCTTTAATAACTTTGGAGAGAGTGTTGAGTTGAGAATCGTTTATTAGAATACTTATACTTTACAGGAAAAAACAAAGCAGATACAGTCACAATAAATCATTTGCACATGTAAAAGAGTTGAACAGTCGCACCTAAATGGCTTAACATATCTAATGGAAGTACTAAAATACTTTATATAAAATTCAGGCTTCCACTTGTACTGAATCTAACATAAGAACTTTAGATGCAGCTTTCCTTCATTCTAGTTCTGATATCATTGTCAACTCTTCGCTAGAAGGGCATGCAATCACTCCAGCTCCTACGTGGGTGGTGTATCTTGCTGTAAAAGGAGGAGAAATAGTTAGATTGCTCCCATCTCCTTCTAGCATTTGCGTAACAACTTTGATGGAAGGTCGATCCGTTGCATTCCATTGTATGCACCAAAGTCCTATAATAGCCAATTTCCTTGCAATTATGATATCATCATCTTCCTCTATCCTGATTTTCAACTCTTCTCCTTCATTCAATTGTTGATGAATCCACTCAGAAAAGTTCACTTGGCTATTACTGGCCTTTGCATCAAAATTCTTCCTCCCTCCAACCATTTCAAGTAGCAGCATACCAAAGCTATAGACATCAGATTTATGAGACGCTTTTCCAAAATTGCTGGAGAATACTTCTGGTGCAATATAACCCATGGTTCCTCTAGCTTCAGTCATGGTTACAACACTTTTCTCTTTAGAGCATAACTTGGCAAGACCAAAATCAGCAATCTTTGGGTTCAAGTTATGGTCTAACAGAATATTTTGGGGTTTGATGTCAAAATGAAGGATTTGTTGGTCACATCCTTGATGAAGATACTCCAGTCCTTTCGCTATACCCATAGCAATATCATGAAGCTTCTTCCAATTAAGGGTAATGTGATCTTTGGAACTTGCTGGAAAAATGAGTTTGTCAAGCGACTGATTTGGCAAATATTCATACACGAGCGTTTCTGAATCCATCAGTGCAATAGCCAACGAGGCGAAGCACATTGAAGTGGTGGATTTTCCCCATTGCTGCAACTTCATTAATAAATTCTTCCCCATTTCGTATGGAGTCATTTAGCACTTTGACAGCAACATGAATTTCATTAGAAAGTGTTCCTTTATAAACAACCCCGTATGCTCCCTCTCCCAATCGTTCGTGAAACATATTTGTTATCTTTATAATCTCTGCATAAGTATATCTAGTAGGCCTGAGAGCTCTGTAGTCTTCCAGAAACTTCTCAACTCTAGCTTGATTCTCTCTTTCAATTTTGCTTGAGCTATAAAACTCATAGAGTGCTAACAGAATAATTCCCAAAAGAAGAAATCCTAATACTCCACCTGGAAGATATCAACTCGATCAGACATTATACAAAAGGTAGATGAATAAGGGAAATTCAAAATATGAGAACTAAAAGGCAAGAAGCACCAACCTGCAATCAGTGGTTCCTTAAATCCGCCTGTCAGAATTACATAAGAAATCTTATTATGGCAAAAAGAGAAACATTTAATCATCAAATTTCAGAAAATTCTTGTTACAGTATCAAACATGTATTTACTAAGGGAGAGATTTTAGATTTTAATTCGTAAGGGCAGTCACTTAATTTTTTCTGTTTTGAACTTGTAATGGTTCCGATATTTAAGTTATAGTTACTATATCAAATATGTATTTCATTGTTATGTTCTAGAATTTGGTTTAGGCCAAATTAAGGATATATATCGCATCCAGATATAGGTTCTTTACTTTTTGGTAAATTGCTTGCATGCGGGGGGTTTTCCCCATCAATTTTATACTTATTTACCTTATTAAAAATTGATATCACATCCAAATCCATTACCATATTCAAGAACCAGATGGACTTGGAAAGCTGTAAATTAAATGTTTTGCTTATGGTACATTCACTTTTGATATTATATTTTATCAATTCTGCAATCAAAAGAGATCTTTCAATGAGTTAATACCTTTTGTAGTCGATGGTCTGTCGAAACACTTAGTTCCCAGTGGGTTGCTATAGTTCTTGAAACCACAATCCATTCCAAGACCTTCACAGTAGCCACACTTTGGATTTAACCAACTCATCCGGAAGGGGAAAGTGTATTCTAGAACTCAGGGAACAGATGGAATTTCCGCAATCTTTTTATAATGTAAAAGATCAGTGTAGCCTTCCAAAGTATTGAAATTGCTGAGAACAATTAATCCAGAGTCAGAGGTGGCAGAGCAATCCTGTGAGCCAAAGTCACCGTTTGAGATACCAGAAGGACTAAAAATGGAGAAGTTACAAAGAAGAGGCTCATCATTAAAGAGGAAAGGAGATGCTGGAAAGTTAAAGTGCAATAGGTTCACAGTACAACTTCCCGGACAATAAACCCTAATCTCCTGAGACGCATAATTAATATGCTCAACAAATAGTATAAGTGAAATGGGAAGGGGATTCACTATTGCACCTAGACTCTTTGCAATCATTTGCTCCTTCACCAAACAGAGCAAAGGGTACCATGACTATGAGAAGTAAGTGCAAGAGGAAAAAGAGGGCCATCTCGACTGCTTGAAGTGCTAGGGACTACAGTGGATAATTTTTTTTAGAAAAAGTAAGAGAATTATTTACATTTATAACATATGAGTGGAAAAGGTGTCCTTCTCTAGTGGAAATTTTACTAATATGTGTGGTACCCTTCCTCAGCATAAGTTTTGGACTGAGGTGATTGTATGTTTGATCCGTCTACTCTCTACACTTCAAAATATTAAGAGAAGACTTACTGACTTGTGTTTCTTTGTGTAGACTTGGACTTGGTCTTTTATTCAATAACTTGACTTTTCTTCATATTAACAGAAGTGCTTTACTGTAGCACAAGAAGGGGAGGGAGGATGAAATATATTTGATATAATTGACTCAAACTTTCAGTGTTTGGAACCAGTACTAAAAAGAGTAAAACCCACAAAAACATACGCACAATTAACCATAATAATGTCTGGAAGAACCAGGTTTCTTACATTTCTTACCATCCTCATCTTCAATGAGTTCAACTGAGTCAGTGAAGCTGCTCGAGAGTTGTTTCTGATTCTGCAATAATAGATGTAATTATTGGTTGACATGTGAGTACCACAAACTGTAACTTCACATTATGTAATATCTTTATGTAACTTTCTATTTGTCTTTTATGCCTTTATGTATAAGGAACATGGTTTTTGCAAAATAGAGTAATGGGAGTTGTAAAAGAAAGTGTGGTTTTCCCTATGACTTATTGTTCAGTCTCCCCATATTGTTTCTCTTACTATGAAAGGATGTTCCAGAATTATCTTTCCAGGAATGTGCAAATAGCAGGGGTGATTTACAGGAATGGCCCAAGGGGATGGTCTTTAAATATTGTCTCCCTTTTTGAATGTACTAACAAAAAAATCTCCAAAACCGCATAGCTCTTTATGGATTTATCTACCGGATCAGTTGAGTTTATGCTATATTTACTTTACCTATATTGTTAATTGTTCACAAGCTCTATCCTTTTGTGATTGTTCGTTTACCAAGCTCAACTAGATCGGCGTAATTTTGTATTATCTGCAGCCGACCTATTTGTTAAATTATTCATTAAAGTCTACTTGAAAGGCATAATTTTTATATGCAACCAGCCCAAATATGCTCGGAATGATTTCAAATTTAAAACAAAGCCTTCAAATACTAGCACAAACGAGACCCAGTCACAAATTTAGTCAAATGACTCCAAATCAAGAAGACTCACTTTGCATTCTTAAACACTTTCGAAGGACCAACAATGGAGTTTTTAGATTTTTAAAGAAAACCACTTAATTAGTAGTTAAAGTAAAAGTTGAAGTATGAATAATCAATACTCAAATGATTTAACAATAATTAACCATTAACTTCAAAATTTCAGCTCCAAAATTAAAGAATTATGGTGTTCTTAGCGAAGAAGAAAAGATGGAGAAGGAGCTAAGGGGCAGACATATCATTTGGCACATAAGGAAAAAGTGAGGAGTCTATTTATTAAAAACTTTAGTTACATAGACATTCAGCTAAAACGAGTCTCATCGGAGGACAACCACACAATTTTTCTAAATAGAAGTTGGCTAAGACTTAGTCAAGNATATATATCATCACAAATTTTACCTAAAAGAAATAAAATGCTGGATGAATGAAAACATATAGGTGTATGGGGTAAAATATGTTTATATTTAATAATCGCACGAGAAAGCGACACGTGGAGCCGAAGACAGAAGACAGTCGAACCCGAAGACAATGATCTCGCTTGTCATCAGAAAGAATGATATTCACAAATGCCAAATAAATGCCTACCATCCGATAGCATTTAATAAAGAATATTCTACAGTATTAAGTGCATGATCTGTTACAGATAATATGACATTCACTGCCTACCGTTACACATTCTTTAATGGCCCTCATAATTGTCATTTAAGAGGGGCTTGATCCTAGGACCTTGTTCTCTGGGTGTATCTATACATACTGTGCTATTTCATCATTGTAGGAGGACGAATTCTGGAACAAGCATATACTATATTTTATCAAAAACTCAATAAATTTTTACTCTTCTGCTTATATATACTGTTCATACTATCTCTGGCAGCTTCGCGTCCGGGAAGATATTTGCTGTATCATTTCAATTTCAAGGCTAAGTCTTACATCTTTGTCTAATTCATCTTTTGTTTTAGGATAACCTTTATTTACTTGTCTATAAATCACGTATAAATTCAATTGTACCGTTTTACGGATAAACAATACGCTGACGTGGTTAGGATAAAGGAGTGAGAGTGCATGTTTTAAGTTTACTTAGTTAATTATCATTTATGTATAAATAGTTAATAAATGATTATTTATTAATTCTGCAAAATTATTCAAACATAATAATTATAACTATATAATTATTGAAGTTTTAGATAAATAAAGAAAATTAATTTTGTGAAGGATTCGTATGATGAATTGTATCTGTCATAAAATTTGAGACAATATGATCGTCCCTAGTCTATTACTCCCTCCGATCTTTACCTTTGACACACCAATTAAAGAAATACAAACTCCTAAAGGAAAAAAGATGTATTCACTAAATTAACCTTAATTAATTGTTACCTTGACACATTGAAATATGTAAATAAGGGCAAATTTTGGAAAAATAAAATTAATTCCTTCTTGATTACGTAAATGTACACTTATTTTGTACCCAAATTAAAAGGTAAAATGGTCACTTATTGTGAACCGGATGGAGTATAGTTTTGACGAATTTAATCTTTAACAAGTTAACTTATCCGTGCTTCGCACGATAAAAAATGAATCCACCAACAACTTTTTTGCAAATTTAGGCTGAGAGAGAAGAGTGTGTGTGTATATATATATATATATATATATATATATATATAGAGAGAGAGAGAGAGAGAGAGAGAGAGAGAGAGAGAGAGAGAGAGATAACACATACGTATGGAAAGAAATTATTAAAAAAAGAAAATCACTAAGGAAAAATTACATATGCGAACTAAAATAGGAATAAATCTAAAAAAAAGTATCGAACTTTTTGTACTTTTATATATACTGGCAGTATGCTGGGGAGCAAAAAAAATCTTCTTAATTAGAAGAAAAGTTTCATCCCCTATTTAAATACTATCGTAAATTATATTAACTATATGTATTAGTAATTGTATTTAAAGGCTTTTGAGATTTGAAGAATAAGAAAATCAAAAATGTCAACAAATTAATAAATAGGTATTCATAAGATACCATGTTACCTCTAGTAAAAAAATATTATACAAGTACCAAAATGAAAAGTAGTGGATATTTAAAGTTTGATGCCGGAAAAGACCACACAAATAGATATTTTATTAATAGTAATAAATATTAGTTATAATGGTAGAGGATAGTTGATTAATCATATTTAGATACGTTTTGGCTATTTAAATAAAGCAAATGCCAAAATGGGGGAAACCTTCTAGTTTCAAACAATTAAAAGCGTAAGATGAGATTTTACTCCCTCTAATAATGTCCCAACGAATCTGTATAAGGAATTCAAATTGGAAAAAGACAATTTGTTGTGCTCAAGTCAATACTAAAATGTATAAAACGGAAAGCCAAAAAAGAAAAAATTAAACTGGATGATCAATATATCAGACATAGAGAGGTATCAACTTTTGGTTATCATACGGTCTTAACAAACTTGCTATTAGACTTCAGTAATCACCGGCTGATGAAGCATTCTGACACGTGTTACGTATAATATTAACTAATATAATCTAGATGTAATAAGAAGTTATGATAAACACATAGAAAGTCTCAATTACTTCATTAAAGACGGAGCAACTAACATGGTGAACAACGAAGATAGACGACACAGGTATTTGCAGATCACACCATGGCCTTCAAAGAAAAGTAATGTGGGTTACTATGACATCTTACGAACATGCAAACTTACAATCATAAAACAAATAACTTTGCCAGATGACAGAGTGTACAGATAAGAAAATCCCACTCATGGAATGAAATGCAGACGAACATAAAATGAATCACAAAATTAGTGAGATTCCACCATGGCCCAAAAGAAAAAATGTTCGGGACATGCTCCTACAATTTCCTCGTTCTTTCACTAATTTGAGTTCAATTTACCACCACATGAATAAAAAATTTAGTAAAAGAAAGAAAAAAAAGTCGCTCAAGCACAAGACTTCCGTCATGGTATTTGAAATATAAATAAAAGAACACAATCAAATAGAAATCCAAGGAAATTTGTCAACTGATTAAAGTTTTGTATAGAATTGCAAATGAAGTCGATCAAATACATTATGGAAAGTTCTTTATTTAAGAGATAAAATATACATTCACTACTATTGGTTGTAGGTACCTGTACCAACTCACTTACAACCTCGTTCAATCCACTTCTTTTCTGTTGAAGTGAAAGCTAATTCTTCTATATTTTCATATCACTTTAATTTGTTAGTGTTGAACTTTATGAAGAGGAAGTACGTAAAAGATTGGGTGTGAAGAGGCAGCGTATTGCTTTCTTTCTGCTTTAGTAGATATCATTGTATTGAATGTTGCAACCTTTCCATAACCAGGAGAGTGTCCGTTCAAGTTGCTACTTTTATGAGAATTAATTGTTGTAACTGTCCACTCTTTTTGGAAGAACACGATCTTTGAGAACATAAATGTTAAATGGAAGTTTTATATCATAGTAATAGATAACATAAATAAATGGAAAAAATAGGAAAAATACCAAAAAAAATAGGAAAAAAGATAAATGGCAATCCTTATAGATGGAAGGTGCCACATCACCTCTTCCATTCCAAACTTTATATTTATATAGATACATAAAATATTTGTGATAGATTAAAAAATATCTTTTAACTCTATTTGTGATGGACCTTTCTTCACAAAGTGGCTCGATTATTTATTCGTCGCAAGAATTTGTGACGTTCGAAATCGTGGAACCTAATAATCTATCACAAATCAGTCACACAACTTTTTGTTGTCTAGCATTAATGAGTTCAAGAATGTTGTGGTAATGGAGATGAACAGTGAGTCTATATTTGACAAAGAAAGTGATAAAAAGTTTCATGTATACCGTGTTGAATATTCTAACATTAGGACTTTTTTTCTTCACATTATTGTTTCAATCTATTTGTCCTCTTTCATTTGGTGACGTGAACTATCTTTCTCCAAAATTTTGCAGGAAAGCGAAGGCAGAAGGAGAGTTGGAAAAATCAGCTTATTTTGAGAAATGCTTTTTTCAGAAACATTTTTCTCAAAAGTACTTTTGGTGAAAAGTAGTTTGTAGTTGTCTAATTAATTTGAATAGTACTTCTGAGCAGCAATTAGTATTTGACCAAGCTTTTAAAAACTGTTTCTAAGTATATTGTTCTCAAAAGTGTTTTTCAAAAAATCTTTTGGAGAGAAGCTACTCTTTTTCACTTCTCTAAAACTGTTTCTGCTTTTTCTCAATTTTTTTTTCTTCAAAAGTGTAATACTCCTCATTTAAAAAAAGGATAATTAAGTAAATTGCGACAAAAAAATAAAATAAAGAAGAGAACAACGAATAAATAAATAATAGAAGATAAACAAAAGAGAAAGAAGGGATTCAATTAAATGGGCCTAACACATCTGGTTAACGTGACAAAAGCAAAAAAAAGGTTTGAAAAAGAGAAACCCCTTTAGCCAACGCCAAACATCGTGACAGAAACATCGACAGAGAAAAACGAAAAAAGGGGGAAAGTTTCTGGTGTTGCCTTAGTGCCAAACAACGTTTGCATTTAAACATTGGCATATATTCTTTAGTCTCAGCCCAGGTAATTGCATATATATTTTCCTTCTTTTGAAACAATAGTAATTTTTAGATACATGACTCCTCGCAAGACTAAGTAAATATAATGTGGGGATTTGATTAGGAATTAAGAAGCGGAGGTTAGGGAACTGAGAGAAATCCATAAGATTTTTCATGAATTAAGCGGGTATATTATATGAATAAGTTAAAAAGATATAGATTATGGACTAGTTGAATTACTCATAGTATGAGTAAATATAATTCAGCGAATTAAGAGTCAAACATGAAACCTAAGGGTTAGGTATTCTAAACTAGCAACGAATTA